TACTCAGTTACAGTTCTCCCTCTTTAGTTCTTAAAAACGATTTTATCTGTTCACTCTCTCGGTGAATATCAGAAAAATTTTTAAGTCACTGACTCAGAGAGTGCACAGCAATATTAAATTGAACAGAAAAATAATAAAAAATACAAATAAAAAACTCCTTTTATATTCGTATTCACAGACCCGTAAAATGTAACCATCGATCACTCAATGATAATAAATGTTATTTTTTTTTAATTCAATAAAAAACGGTGGCCGTAGCTACGGAGTATTGTGTTGGAAAGGATCGACGAGAAAAAAAAAAAAATAAAATGTTAACATGACAAAAGAAATTTTTTTCTCAACAAAAAAAATAACCTTTTCTTAATATTTAATTTTTTTTTAATTCGCCTAACGATATTCGTTATCATTATGAGTTAAAAAAAAATATACCTTAACAATTACCGTTTTAAGTGGCTGGAGAAAAAAATTGTATAGGGAATTTTTTGTTAAGCACAATTTATCGCAGCGTGCCCGTAGAACAGAGGGACAAAAAATGGATAATTACATAGAATGAGTCGAAAAGAAAAAAAATGTAAAATTTGATGTAGAAAAAAAAAAGTAGAACTGACCTTCAGGTTTCTTAGAGATGCCAAAGCCTGCGGGCGGTCGCCTCCATCCGCGCCAGTTGTTGATGAGCGACTCGGCTTCGCTGCTCCAGCTGCAGAGCGAGTCCTCTTCAAAGCGATCTGAGTCGTCGAAGGAATAGCCATCTGCTTCAGCCAGTGCCTCTTCCCAGTCGTGAATCGCCCGAGCCTGAGGACCGTCTACTCCAGTAGTGGTGTTTCCTCCGGCTCCACCGGCCGCGTGATGGTTGTGCCCGTGGTTGTTGTTGTTGTTGTTGTTGCTGTTGTTATGATGGTTGTTATGATTGTTGTTGTGGTTGTTACCAGATCCAGAACCCGCTCCGGGTCCAGGTCGTTCTCCACCTGGTCCACTTCCACCCACCACCACGGGGGATCTCGCCAGGTTGCCCGCCAGTTTAATTGTCGTACGAAATATCGCGCGACACCACGGGCACTTCTGGATCACACGCGTTTAATTCACGGGACGATCCGGCCCCCCTCGATCCCCCCGATGACGCCACTTTAGCGACCTTCCGCAACCTCCTGGTTAAACAATAACAATATACATACTATAAATAAATATTTAGTATTAACATATTTAACATATCTCCACACATACACTAATATATACTTGATGCATCAATATTCACACCTTGAATTGCTTTTGTTTAACGATTATCCTTAATATAAAAGTCTATCAACGTTTTTGACTACGTCGGGTCACGGCTAACGGAGACAATGTAATTCCGACGGTGAAGCGAATAATTGATTATAGGATTCGACCATTCATTATATTAGTACAACAATGCCTATTAATTTCGCTGTAACTGACAACCATTTTCAACTACTAATACAATATATATTATTGTCAATTCCAATTATATATTATAAATTAATTTATTATTAATATGACTAATGTCGCTTAAAAGTACACTGATAAAAGGATTTGTTTATAGTTAAAAATATTTGTCAATATTTGACAAATCATTTATAAGAGACCACTTTTAGTTATATCATCTATATATATATATATATATATATATATATATATATATATATATATATATATATATATATATATATATATATATATATATATATATATATATATATTGCACCG